CACATTTTGATTCGTGGTTGGTCACATGTGCATACTTGTTTAATCGCATTTTGATTCTTCTTATCTTATCATAACTAGGCATCTTTAAATGGAAATCTTGAACCAGGGATATTCGCTTCCTTTTCATCTTCTCCATATGATTTTGAAATTTATTGCCTGGAATCAGCTAGGAGCATCTTTCCATTTTTTGGACTTTGACTTCATTTTGTTAAACATCAAGAGAATCAGTTTATAATGATTCTGAACACAGTTTTTATAAGCCTTAGCTTTCAATAGGTGATGTATCCATCTTGATTATTTTCTGAGGACCAGATTTAGATTTCTATGTGTTGATTGTTTCATATCATCATCAATATGAGTTCTATATAATAGAATAACCTTCTATAGTGCAAGCTTATGTAGGCTTGATGATGCTGTGAAACTCCCTGGAGGTATTGGAACCTTGTGGAATGGAAGAAAGTGGCTCTGTTGCTAGGAGATGGGAGGACTTGGACACTGATGTCTTGGTGAAGATCTTCCAGTCTTTTGACATCTTTCAGTTAACTTCAGGCGTTGCTAGTGTCTGCAGTTCATGGCATATGGCTTGTTGTGATCCTATGCTTTGGAATACACTTGATTTATCAGTGATGAGGTCAAATTTTATTAAAATTCCATTGGAGCCTTATGTATATGTTGATGCTCGTTCTGACAAGACATTGACCCGTATCTTGAAGATATCTTTGAGTCTCAGCCAGGGAAACATAATGACCTTGATTTTTCACTTTAATCTATATGTGAGTGATGATCAATTGACCTATACTGCTGAAAGGTAACTTTAGTGAATTTTACTTATTTAGAATCTTCTCAAGGTTTCTGATGGCATTACCAATCTTGTCAGTGAACATCTTTTCTTGTTTATAGTTTTTGATTATCTCTTTGAAATAAAAACATATTATGATATATCATATTAATCTTTGAAGGATGATGCTAACAAGGATTGTTTGTTACCTACACATGAACATATCTAATTCTTTTCTTTGAGTTTCAAGAGTCAATTAACATCGTGTGTGTTTAAAAATGCATTTGCTAATGGTATTGAAACTAGTGTATACATGAGCATCCTTTTTTGCCATTACGCTGATCAAACTATTGCTCTTTTTTTTTTCTTCTTGAGGGAAGGGGAGGGGTGTTGAAGAGGGTGTCGGTGCAGTGTTCCTCTTAATTATATGCTATTTTGGTGAATGCTTTGGAAAGTGATCTTGTCTTTCTTTACTGCAGGTGCCCACGCCTTAGACGGCTTGTTATGCCAGCTTGGAACAGAATAAAGAAAACTGGAATATGCAAAGCTATTCGCATCTGGCGGGATCTTAAATCCCTAACAATGCCTAGCATAGCAAACCCTCCATATCTCATGGAAGAAATTGCCAATAATTGCAAGAATTTTAGTGAACTCAAGGTGATGGGACCTTTTGACAATTTCTTTGCCACTACGATAATAACTTGTCTACCAAAGATAAAGGTTTTGAGCCTTCGCTGCTCAATGCTTCTGAAGGATGCCCTGATCTCCATCTTGGATAATTTACAAAACCTAGAAGTGCTTAACATATCTCATTGCCTTCTGATAGAAATACCACCTCTTCCTAACCCAAGAAGAATTATGGAGGAGCTTGATCAGTCTATCCTTGAGAAGGCATCTCAATTACGTCAATTTATCACGTGCATGAAAGACTCAT